TGTTTAAAAGCTCTGTACACCAGAACAGTGTTTTCAACCATTTTGCCTGATCAGACCCTTTCTATAGGTGCGGACCCTCAGACTAATGTTCATTTTGCAAAGTATATAACACTTAAATGAGCGTTTTTGTGGATTTTCATTAGATCTATAGTAAATCAAATAATCAGGAAGTAATAATAGATAACAGTAATAAATTTTACTGTTTTGTCATTTGCCAAACAACAACAAAGTTAGCAAGCACATTAGCTAATGATGAAGCTTTAGCATCTAGAAAGCTAACGTTAATTAGCGTAGTTACTTTTCTCGGGAGTTGGAGAAGACCAAACCAGAGCTACAACGAGAGGCAATGTTGGACTTACATTAGTCATGTGGACAAAACACAACTCCAGCGGGATGATCAAGATACTCTTCATCTGCTGGATGTGTTTATACACTCAGTGGACGTGTCGGTAGCTAATTGTTTGCTAACACGTTAGCCATAGCTTCGCTTTGGTGCTGTAACGTTAAGTTTGCGTAAATGTTTTTCAGCACCCTAGCCGAGTAGGGCCCCTCTCCCCTAGCGCCCAGAAGTAGAAGCTGGTGAGATTGTGGCTTCATTAAGTTCAGTTTAAAACCCGTTCACTTGTCGCACACTTTATTGTGTCATAGGTAAATTGATAAAATTGCAATTTATGGATATAGAAATGAAGTACTTATAATGTTATAATTTTAAATTATAAATTCGTGGAAGAATTTTCCAAAACTTTACTTTACTTTACTTCTCTTTATTTAACCAGGTAAAAAACCCATTGAGATCACGATCTCTTTTACAAGGGTGACCTGGCCAAGTGGTCAACAACACATGTCGTCAATACATAAGTTTCAATACAAATCAAAAACATTAAACATTTAAACAATCAAAACCATAAATACAATAATCAACAATACAACCAATTTAAAAACACCTACACTGACCAACAGAGTCCTGTTGCCTAAGAGCCATAAGAGAATAAAAAGCTTTAACTGAGCATAATTCAGTAAGTTTAAAATCTGCTTGGAAACTATTCCACGAATAGGGAGCGGCAAATCCAAAAGTCCTGATATTACTGCAGTACAGAAATGCCAAAGTACAAAGAGTGTCACCAGAAAGCACTGACAAGTTTAACTGATGAGCTGTTTAATGTCCTGCTCAATGTGTATCATGCAGTGTGTACATTTTTTTATTCCCAAATATCAAACTTACCTCAAAAGTGCACAGATAATAACATAAATATGAAACAGAAATGGACATAACTTAGCTGTGTTGTATACACTTTATGGATAAATTAACATGTCACAGTAAGCCAGCAACCTTCCAGTTGTATCTATCATCTACCAGTTTACCTCAGACAGATGTTTTCAACAGGTCACTTATCCACTTCACAATGTTATCAAATGTTGATCCTTTAAATTCCTGTGGCCTATTAACTGCCATGGACCAAACCCACCTTATCTGGTCATGAAAATAACTCTTATAATTTCTGGCTGTTACATCATCTTTATCATCAGTAGTATCTTTCTTTCTTTCTTTCTTTCTTTCCCTTTATTTAACCAGGTAAAAAACCCATTGAGATCATGATCTCTTTTACAAGGGTGACCTGGCCAAGAGGTCAACAACACATGTCGTCAATACATAAGTTTCAATACAAATCAAAACATTAAACATTTAAACAATCAAAACCATAAATACAATAATCAACAATATAACCAATTTAAAAACACATACACTGACCAATAGAGTCCTGTTGCCTAAGAGCCATAAGAGAATAAAAAGCTTTAACTGAGCATAATTCAGTAAGTTTAAAATCTGCTTGGAAACTATTCCACGAAGAGGGAGCGGCAAATCCAAAAGCCCGTTTCCCTTTTTCGGTCCGAACTCTCGGCACCATGAGCTGATACTTATCACAAGACCGTAAGGGATATTTGGTATCCGATCTATGTAAAAGAGAGCATAAGTATGCCGGGGCTAGGCCTACCAAAGCCTTGTACACTAGCACCATCCAATGAACATGTCTTCGCATGCTCAGAGACGACCACTGTGCTTTAACATACAGGTCGCAATGGTGCGTTAGTCGACTACAACCCGTCACAAACCTCAAGGCACTGTGGTAAACCACATTTAAAGAATGGAGACATCTAGCTGAGGCATTCATATACAGTACATCACCATAATCCAACAGGGGAAGAAAGGTCGCTGATATTAAATATTTGCGTGCCTGCAAGGAAAAGCAGGATTTATTACGATAAAAGAATCCAATCTTCATCCGTAATTTTCGAACCACATTAGCAATGTGGGTTTTAAAAGACAACTCAGAATCAAGTAAAAAACCTAAGTACTTATAGCTGGAAACCAGCTCAATCAACACTCCCCGATCTGTTGTTATTGACAGAGTATCTGTTGATAGCTCCTGTAAATGCGAAAATGCCATAACCTTAGATTTCTTAGGATTTAAGACCAACTTCAGTGACCGTAGGCGAAACTGAACAATGTCAAATGCATGTTGTAAGCATTTTGCCGCCTGGGCAAGTGTAGAAGAGCAACAATAAATTACTGTGTCATCCGCATAAAAGTGATACATAGCATTTGTAAGATTATCACACACATTGTTAATATAAATAGAAAATAAAATTGGTCCAAGGACCGAGCCTTGCGGCACCCCTTTTAATATTTCTAAAAAAGACGAGGAAGAACCTCCCAATTGGACAGCTTGCCTCCTATTTGAAAGATAATTCCTAAACCAAGGGATCGCTCCCTCTGACAAACCAATCCTTAACAACGAGTTAATCAGTAATACATGATCAACAGTATCAAAAGCCTTAGAGAGGTCAATACATAGAGCTACACAATGTTTTTTACAATCCAATGCTTGTATCACATCATTTAAAAATTTTAATGTGGCAGTAACAGTACTGTGCTGTTTTCTAAAACCAGACTGAAATGGGGACAATATGTAATTTGATTCTAAAAACCCCTTAAGTTGGTCACTCACTATTTTTTCTAGGATTTTCGCTAAAACACACAGTTTAGAAATTGGCCTATAATTATTAACTTCCGATGGATCACCTTCCTTTAAAAGGGGAAGAACAAAAGCTGATTTCCAAATCACTGGAATTTCGTTACTACTAAGACTTAAATTAAAAACATAAGACAGTGGTTCAGCTATATAGTCTGCAGCCAATTTTAAGAAAAAAGGATCCAGTCCATCAGTCCCAGCTGCTTTGCTAGTATCCAAATTGCTTAATGCACTATGATCCTCAGAAATAGGCACAGAAGTAAAAGAAAAAGTATTAAGAGTAGAATGACTACTCATTTCAGAAGATTCTGTTTTTGAAAGCAAACCAGATACTTCAGAGTCCAAAGAGTCAGATAAACATCCAGCTGAAATTAAATGTTCATTTAAATGGTCCAACATGACCAATTTAGCAGTCAAAGGTACACCCACTTTAACCAAAAAACATGGCAACTCATTCGTTGGTATCGAGTTCATAGTAGATTTTACAGTCCTCCAAAACATCTTAGGATCATTTATACTCTTTGATATTTCAGCAAGATAAAATTCAGACTTTGACCTCCTTACCAAGAGTGTACATTTATTTCGTAGCTGTCTAAAACGAAGCCAATCTCCTTCTGTTCCACTCTTTCTGGCCTGAGCCCAGGCAATATCTCTTTCCTTAAGGAGGTTACCAATTTCCAACGAAAACCAAGGATTATCACGCCCCTTCACTCTAAAAGAGCGGAACGGTGCATGCTTATCTATCAATCTTAAAACCTCTTCATAAAAATACTGCCACGCTAATTCTACTGAATCAATAAGGGAAATTCTATACCACGGAAAAGAGGACAAATCACGTACAAAGGCCTGTTCATTAAAACGCTTAAAATCCCGTTTAACTAATATCCTAGGCTTCGTTTTAGGCAACTTTACATTTCTAATAGTAACAACTGCACAGTGATCACTCAGATCATTCGCAAAAACACCTACACCAGTATACTTATGAGGAGCATTTGTCATAATTAAGTCCAACAAAGATGAGCTCATAGGATGTTTAATATTTGGTCGAGTGGGACTGTGAATTAGTTGGCTGAGATTTAAAGAATCACAGATAGAGTTTAAACTATCTGAAGAAGATAGTTCAGTAGTAACAATTGGGAAATCTGCCTGCCAAGCACTTTGAAAATCTGTGTTTGCAAATGTACTGAGGACGACTGATGTTGTTAAAGGGTGGTCACATAAATATTGATTTTGTTTTTTTTTTTTTTTGTTTGTTTGTTTGCTGATTTTTGTGTAAAGTTATTTAATAAAAATGAATTTCATGGAATTATTCTTAAAATCATCGTCATCGTTAAAAGCATACACTTACCCTTTTTTGCTCAGTACAGTATATTCCATGTCATAAAAACAATAATAACAAGATAAAACTATAATGATAACAATAAGGCCCTCATTTCTCAACCCCTCAAAGTGGCCTCCTGTAAAACAAGAAATAACAGCCTAAGGCACAAAAAAGCAAGTCAATAAAAATAATGACTTTTAAAGGTATGAAGCACAAAAAATTATTCTTCTATTCCTTTTATTTTCTATTACCACACTGACAATTTTTACATTTAATTCATAAGAACTGAATCCATTATGATGGTTATATTAATCTCTTATGGTACATAATTTATAATATCTGCTTAAGATTTCTTTTACCCAATACTGCAATCAACTTTTCTTAAGGAGCCTAAATGTCTCATTGTACTACATTTAATATAAACTTTAAAGGAAATCAACTCAACCTATTTCAGTTTCCCAGTTTCAGATTTAATTACTGTATGTTCCTTTATAAATACTAAGGAAGGAGTTCTGAGGGACTAACATACTTTTAACAGCATCCATTCAATATCATTAACAAGTACAACACACCCCGTTTACGCATGTAGACATTCCTTGTATCTGTCTGGAGTAGATACTGAAACAAAGGGTGACAACAATGCAGTCTGACAGCGTAAAGAAGTTTTATTGATCTGTCCATTCTTTACATTTTCTTTTTCCATAGCTATACATTCAATAAATACTTTATGTAGTCTCGGACTGAGTGAACTGCATCCATACAGTCAGCTGACTTGTCTGTGGTCACTCAGAAGATTAGTGTTAATTTATCCTTCTACATGTACCACAGTTACTTAGGAACTACAGTATTCCCTGTGTAGTGCATGTACAAAGGAATGGCTTTGTGCTGACTGAGGTTGGCAGATTTCCAAGTACTATGGCCTCGTTTTCTTAGATTTCCTTTGTTACAAAAAAAAAACACATTTTTTGCTATGCCTATTTCATAAATACAGTATACATTATAACCATTAATCTTGTGCTAAAATTAAAACTGTGCTGCAATCAGTTAAAAAACTTCAACATCAATTACAGGGAAATAAGCTTGCCTGTTTCGATTGTTTACCATAGCATCTTTACAGTGTTTTTAATGTCCCTGATTATCTCGAAACCATAGCGTTGTATTGTTTATATTACAGGAAAGAAACAGTTTGTTTACACTTGCTGAGAAGTGAACATGTTGTGTTTTTGTGTGCACTAGACGTATGTATTTGTATTTGTGTATTTGTACTAAAGCCTGGAGAAACAGAGACATTTAAAACAGGAAGAATTGCAAATTCCTATGGTGCCAGTCATGTAGTAATGATGTAAAACAGCTCTCTTACATGTATAGTTACTCAGTCACTCATTGGTTATATAGATGGGTGCCATCATTATCAATGACATGTACAATAAGAAAACACAATACCACAGAAATCAACACCGATCTCACTGCCATCAAACTGTGTCCGTCAGTGTGTGTGCAGGATGTCAAATAATCTACAGGAATATGAGGCAAACTGTTACATTAATACACAATATAATCGATTAAAAGAATGACTGAAAGAGAACAAATCAAGAAGAGACAAAATATTCTTTTTAGAGTGGATGGGCAGGGCACACAGGCTGTTGAATATATTACATCAATGTATGGACGGTCCCATCATCAGCCAGACAAATGCTTCAGAAGTTCAGTGTCTCTGACATCATCTTCCACCAGTCCATCAGCTCCTCCCGCTCCTCCTCCTTCCTCTCCATCAGAGACTCCAACTCAAAGTCCACCTGAGACAGAAAGACAGATTTTAAAGGAGCCATGTATCTGAATTATTTTTCAGCTGTCCTAAACTATGTGTGGCTCACAGCCCCAGACTCAGTCATTCCGAAGACATTGATCTTTAAAATAGATCACAAACATGTAGTTTAATGTTTAAAAAGGTTCAATAATTTCCTATAACAGATGAGCACACAGTTTGTAGCAAATGTTCTTAGGCAGAAGTAAACAGTGCATTTGTTTCTGGCTATTTTCAGGCATGCATACACATTTGGTACTCTAGTAAGTATTTCTGGCTGCAGGATGGTGCATGTGGGATCGACTCAAAATAAACTACAGTGGCAATGTTCATGCCATAATGAAACATGCCAACCAATGCAAAGGTGTGGCTCGCTGATGATTTAAACATTGTCTGGCGCCTCCAATGGGGTCACAAGACGTTAAATGTTGAAGTAGAGAAGAAATAAAGAATTTATTTTGATTGTTTTTGTAAAACACTGTATAGCTTAAATTCTGAAAGACTATAAAATGTCTTTATATTAAAGCAGTCATATGTTCATACACAAAGAAGTTACAGTTAGTAGGTACTGGTTTTGTTGGATCACAAGCCATGGTTGTGAAGTATTTGTTTAAAAGAGCAAATTTCTCTCCTTACAGGCATTTACAACTATTTTCCATGTCCCTCCCTGACTATAATCTGGTTGTAATAAACTGGATGCAAACGAGGCAACAAAGTGTATTATTCTGGACCCTGGCTTACAAGTTATTAAAGGCTTTTATGTGCCATTTGTGCCCAATCATTTAGACAGCGCAAGCATCAGTCATATATACAGTATCTTCTCAGAGGTTTATTTTATTTTATTTGTTTGAGATTTTATTTGAGATGTTTTGTTTCATATACTGTGACCTGATATTTCTAAAACAATGACTACACAGTGCTCATGTGTTTTACTGTTCATTTGTCTGTGATTCTTACCCTGGTTGCAGGGCTGTAGGGAACAGCTACCTTCTTGATGACAGTCAGGTATCCTGGAGCAGACGCTGCCACTTTGTAGTTTCCTGGAGCCAAAAGGCGCCAATAGTCTCCATCTTTGGCTACGAAATACAGATCATCTTATTGATAAACTGAATCAAGCAGCAGACAGAGCAGCCAACTGATGCTCAGCTATGGAAATAATCAAACCTTACAACCTATTATTACTGTGACTGTGATATGAAGAGCAGGTGCAAGTAACTAACAGAAATCAGACTGAATAATGGTGCAGTACCCACTATGTCCACAAGATAGAGGCATTACAGTATGTTACCATTACATACAGTATCTCGCATGAGGCTTCATTTCCATAGACTATATAGAGTGTGTGTTAGGTTGTCACAGTTATATGAATGGATGCTGATACCTGTGGTGATATCATGATCAATACCCTCTACAGATATGCTGGCATTCGAAATGGGGTTGCCCTGGAGGTCACGCACAAAGCCTTTGACGCCACGGTGAACCTACAAACACACACGCAGAGGCATATTGAGGCATACAGTTTGGTTCATTGACTGAGGGAAGCTTGGGGTCTGCTGCAAACTGTGGGGGATGCTCTTCAGATGGGAAGACACATTTAAAATCACAAATGGAAATTTCTTGACTGTGAAAAATCCTGGCATTAACAAGGATCATGGGTTTGTCTACACTACTGTTAAATCAATACCACGGTGTGGTCATATAACATCTGTATCCAGAGACCATAAGAATACAAAAGTGGGGGTGGTAAAAGTGGTTTGTTGTTATTGTTTATTAATTTGTTGTTTTGACTGTTGTTATTGCTTGCTTTTACATTGGAGCTGCCATGTGTTGCAAGACACATTTCAAATTTATCTGATAAAGTGTTGTCGTATTGCATCTTATCACATTATATTGTATCATAGCATAGTGTATCATATCATATGAAGTCTTGTACACGTATTGTTTTTCATTTTCAACATTACCATTTTATTCACTTCAGTCTGAGAACTTTGGTTTTGTTTTGAGTAAGCTGCATCAAATACACCAATGAAAGTACATGGCACTGTCCTGGTGTGCTGCTTACCTGCTCAATGTAGTTGACCAGTGAGTTGCGGTTTTGCTCCCAGTAGGTCTTGAGTGTGTCCTCGTTGGGGAACTTGTCACAGCTGAGCTCCAAAGTGATCTCAAAGCAGTTGCTGCTGAGGTAGTTGAAATCCTGCATTCCTGTAACGGGTCAGTCACAAAACACAGGAAGGAAAACAAGCGAGAAAAATTATCTGTGAAATGAAAACCCAGTACGTCAATTCAGGTGAGAAGACAGCTTCAAGTGTTAAAATGGGCTAGACTTTGCTAAAAAGTATTTAAGAAATTACTGGTTACTAATGAACATTGTTTCAGTAACATTTTAACCAAATCCTGGCTAATACAGCAGCAGCTTGTTTTAGCTTATATACATAGATATACTGTATCATTATTGCTGTATATGCTAGATATTTAGTAACAAGATTTTGCTGTAATAAAATGCAAACAATATGTTTGTAAACTGGGGTAACTTGGACACTCATTCTATTCCCTAAAATGCCCACCACAGAGCACTGACAACTTTATTTTTCAACTGTAAAATATACCATTCTGTACATATACATCATTGGTCACATAGTGGGTACTGGTGCAAAAGCTAAGATTGTACACACTATCTGATAAACCAAGTGAACTGGCACAGAGCCCTGGAGGGCAAAAAACCCTTCCAACATGGCAGCAAATTCCCTCCCAGAGCCCAAATCTGGCAAATTTTACATATATCTTGTGGAGAAACCCACCCCTTATATTGTGAGCAGGATGAAAGCTTACAAAAGGAGACAGCTACTGTATATATATTTTGGATGTGGATGGGTCACTAATGCTGCCGTGTGGTGAGGTGAAGGAAACGTAGTCATTTCAAATAGCCAGCTATGGAGGAGCCCTTGTCTGGTAAAAGTATGACACAGTGGCAATCAAAAAGGTTGCGTTCTTTTGCACAGAGAGAGTGCGACAAGAAAGTAAAAAAAAAAATAGGTACCCTACCAGTTTCAGCCTAGAATAGTGCCTTGTGTCTTCTTAGGTGATGATCACCAGAACCATAATTGTTGAAAGCAGGTTGTTTCTTACCTCCTGGCACGCTGTACCAGGCCCCTCCATTAGTGATGCCATCTTTGAAGCTGGAGTCATCATCGTTTTTACGGCAGGGGGGTCGGTGAGGGTCAGACATGACTGGGTTGTACATGGAGTAGGCCCTGGCCAGTGACTTGAACATCACATCATCTGGACTGGCACTGTACTCATGTGTTGATCCTTAGCAGAGGAATGAGAGGGAAGGGAACAAACAAGCGCATTATGTTTAGACAGCAACTGTGTGAAGTATTCACTCAACACCTGTATCTGCAAGGCATTAAAACACATTTGGTTCATTTTGGATGATAGTAGAAGAAAACATTTTCCATCTGGTTTAAATTAGAGTAAACAGTCTGAAGAAAAACTAATAAAATGTTTATTTCAGTTAGTTCAAATATTTTCCTCATTAAATCTATGGAAAGATTCTCAAGCAGAAAAAAACAAGGTGCATATAAGATTGTGTGGGCATGTGCACACTTACCAGTGCGAGTCTCATCATATGGGTAGTTAGCCACCACATCTCCTCCATGCAGGTTAGCTGAGAGGACAAAGGGGATATCCATAATCCAGTGGATCACTGCCTTGGTCTCTGGAGCCAGCTATGAAGACAAAAAAAAAAAACATCATAAGTTGCAAATACAGCTGCATGTGCAAACAAGACCAAGAGGCATTTTTCTATCTGAAGCATCCAGCAACCAACCACTCCTAACCCACACACAGCATAGGTCTTATAAAGTGTTAGAAGATAAGTCTGGTAATGTTCAATATTTTTCTTATTGTCAAAGATAATCCCATGAAAAGCACAAAACCAACAATGACTTAATCCAACAAGTTAATCCTAATATAGTTAACTACTCTGTAAAATAAGTCTCCACTGTAATTTCATCACTATGAGCTACCCCTTTCACATTGTCATTTGATAATGCAGTACTATTATAAAATATTGATGTTTAAATCAATCCCACATAAATACTGTACACCCTGTTTGGACACCTTGGTGTTTTCATCTACAGCCTTTTTCATGTTCTGCAGCAGGTGGTTGTTGACTCCACCCTCCCTCTCGTTGATGTAGATGATGCGATCCAGATCAGGGAAGTTACGGTTCAGGTCCACGCCCTGAGCGTTACTGCGACCCACAAACCAGTCCTTGATCTCTCCAGGCTGAGCAGGAAACCAAACACAGTGATTAAACAGGCAGGAGTTTTGCTGAGCCAAGACTTGTGGTTACCAAGTCAGTGTTTGTAGTCTACAAGCTTAATCTGTCTAATGTTAAACCCTTGGATCAGGTTTTTTGTGTACACGCAATATGTTTTTGTCACACTGTGTTTTCACCTGTGAAGCAGCCTTCTCAAAGCCGTCAGGGTTCATGGAGGGCATGAGGTGAATGCGTGTGTTGTGGATGAGGTCGATGATGGTCTCATTCCCTTGCTCGTACTGGTTGCACAGGTACTGAGCCAGGTAGATGAGCAACTCTCTACCCACTGCCTCATTGCCGTGCATGTTGGCAATGTACTTAAACTCAGGCTCACCTGCAGGTTACAAAAAGACACACACACTGCTATAACTCAAAACTGTGTATTCAACCTTCTAGCGTGGTTATGAATCCAGAGTGAGAGGCTGTAAAACAAGTCCAGAAAGACTCCCTAGTGTTTGGAGCAACTTCAGTGTAGACATGTTACAGCAAGGAGCCTTCTTCTGTCAGGTCAGAGTGACAGGCTGAAATGAAGACAGTTTTTTAACTATTATAAACAAGGGTTTTAAACAATGCCGATTGTGAATTAATGCCTTTGATCGGCTTAAACCAATCACAATTAGCGTCAAAAAATGACCACATAATCACAAAGATAAATATCACAATAATGTCACATGCTTTGTAAGACAAAGATATTTTTAAGCAATAGTCCTGGAAACAAACATCTCCTTTCCATTTTATTTGGATTAGCATTCCCATTGTTAGGGAGATTACCGTGGACACAACCACCCTCTAGACCAACTATAAAACTCAAGCTACACACTCCAGCAGTGACAAACACACTGACTCCTCAGCTGAAAGGTTAAACAGAACTGAACATCACAGCCCAGAGCTCCATTTGGACAATAATGACTGAGAGACAGTGGATTACTGAGTGACACTGTCACGCACTGTTTTGTCTGAATCTTGGTGAAGTGACAGGTCTGAGGTCACAGAGAGTGTGACTCCAAAAACAAAGTGTGAGTTACAGTATATTGCGCACGCTCTTTTAAATAATGACAAACCACAGATTAGTGGCTGTCTGCAGCTGTAGGAGGACAAAGGAACTTCTCTGAGCACTGAAGGAAAAAAATGACAAATTACAAGTACAAAAAATGTATCTTAAGATCTGCAGATGGTGAGGAGTGTGTGTCTGTGTTTGTGTGTGAAGCCAAATTGCAGTAGGGTTCCTGCGTTAATTGGAGGCTCTAAGTGTGTGTCTGTATTGTTTACTTTTGTTCTGATAATACCATTTTCAAGGCCCTTTCCCCCTATTATTTTCATCATTCAAATAATTTTGTCTCACACGTATAACGACAGTGGTTTCAAGATGTAAGTGTACATTTGTGCCAATATTTGCTTTCATTTTCATCCATTTTTAGCTCATGACCATATGTGTGTGACATATCTGTAAAACAGATATGTCACATGCAGCCCACATCTGGACATCAGATTATGTTTAAATTCTTTTAAAGTCTGGTTTCTCTCGAAGTTGCTACTAATGATTTCAAGACAACAATTAACTCTTTTTGCCTTGAATAACTTTTACAGGTTTCAGACGCCTGCCAGGTTTGTCAAACACATGCTTATATGTTCATACACATACAGACACTTTGAAGTGGACTCTGTCAAAAAAAAAGTTACTGTCCAAGCTATGAAACATGAGCTCAGTATGTGGAGACTTTTCCTTTCTTCCTTAAGACATAATGTTCATATCCATGTTAGTGTTTGACAGAAAACAGAAATGCACACATTTCATATATGCAGAACAGCTGACACTCATAAGATGATAATGGCTTTATGACCCAACACATGCAGGATGGAGAAGCGCTAGTGATAATTTCATGCATAAATTCTCAGCGATGAATAACACTGTTTATATGAATACCATTAATTATCATTTTTGCTAAATCATGCTTATTTAACAGCTGTGTTTACTCTTTCTGAACAAAAGGACAAACACATTTTGACCAGAGGATGCGTTTTTACACAAAGCTGAGTGTGATGCGTCACTACGTAGGTGGAACAAATCACACACGCCTTTTCTCTTCTCATGCTAACTGTTACCACCTCCCTTTGTCTTACTTTATTCATCTTCACACTCTTTTACCCTGATATAGGCACACAGACTCACACACATGCACAGTAAAAGAAAAGGTGCACATGGGAGGCGCCATTTGATATGAGATAACGTCACATATGGCCACGTGTAGCTTTTGGACAGTTCACTTTTGAAGTGTATAACACCAACACATGATATTTCACAGGTGAATTCATAATATGTAAAACAGCACATGCACTTTACTGTATGCACAAAAGCAACCTGGTAGTTCAAAACTGTGAACAGTGCACACACTCAACCCCAATGTTAACATATTCAGTAACAGCAGCCAGAATCTTATGTGAGAGGCTGATGTGGCGTACCTCTCTCTTTAACTCCAGGGGATTCCTGGTTTCAAAGACTCGATCTAATACTGATGTTGACACAACCAGCTGTGTCATGGGTTTCAAAGACTCAATCTAATACTGATGTTGACACAACCGGCTACGTCATCCTACACTTATTTTCACAGGTGTCTGACAGGCCATCAATATGATCTCCCAGGTTACCACGTAATAATGACCGCAGCTGCAGCGTCATTAGGGAAGCATCACATTAGCGAGCTCTCAGTTGTCCTGGCAACCCGGACAGTGACAGGTGCTGAGGGAAACCAATTAACTCAGAGAGTGAGTAAACACACTCACTCTGTGTCCGCCTGTCTGTCTCGTACTAATGTGCACTCACAGTCATATACAACCAATTTTTTAGCTTTGGACCTTTGGACATCTGATAATACACTTATACATGACTCACAGTCATATACAACCAATTTTTTTGCTTTGGACGGCTGCTAGCTCTGACATCTGATAATACACTTATACATCTACAGCAGAGACAGAGACACCAGTAACAATGCCATTGAGACATTGAGACATATTGGTCCATTTTGGGTCATATAATAGCAGAGCCAAAGTTCACAAACTTACACTTTGTTCCTGTTCCACTAACTAGAGGAGATGTCTTTTTTTACAGTATACGATATATAAAAAGCTGTCCAATTCTAACCAGTACAGAACACCAAATGAATAAACCAGCCCACATTAAAAAAGTGTCATGATCAAGACGAGACACTACAAAGAGTTTTGTAATACAAATAAGGCTTCCAAATTTATAAGTGGGTGTCTGATCCTTTTGAGCAAGACAAAGCTTTTCATTCCTAAGAGGAATCAGAATTTTGCTTTACAATTTCTGGCAACACATAAAGCTGCTATTGAAAACTTTTTTAGCTTATTTGAGAGATGCAACATAGTTTTGAACAGTTCTCTAATAAGAAAGATATTAAAGTGTAGACTTTAATGAGTGAGTAGTGAGTGTTGAATGCACACGGATGCACCAATGTCTGCTAAAATTACAACAATGTTGGTTATTTCACATGAGAGATTTGTTTGTTTCCTTTGTTCTCTTCTCACTAGTTTGAAGGAGGTAGGTCACAGTTGTCTTCACATACTAAAAACGTTTAGTGTAATGTCAGGAAATGGTAAAAATAAAAAGACAAGGGGTTGTCTTCAAATAACACTGATAATATGTGCACTCTCTAAAGTGCTTTACATAAAATTATAAAAAGGGAATAAAATGACACTGAGTGAAAAGTTAGAATTAAGTGATGACTTCAATGAGAAAAGTAAAAGCAACAACACAATTTAAAGTTTTTAAAATTACTTGGGAGGGTAATTATTTTACCTCCCTGGCAGGTCACTCCACGGCTGAGGAGCTTGCACAGACAAGGCCATATCCCCTTTAGTCTGTCTTGTTTTGGCTGACAAACACTCAAAAATCATTCAGTTGAACAATTAATCCATTATCAAGGTAACTGTGGTGATTATTCTGTCAATAGACTAATGCGTTAATGAATTTCAGCTCTAGTATTTACAAATGAAATGTACATATTGTACGTTACATTTATGCTTACATAGTAACCCCTCTTTATTTTAACCAAGCTGAAACTATGATAAATTTGTTGGCAATTACCAACACTGTCAAAACCAAGTGGGAGCTGTAATTGCTGATCACTAACAAAACAATTACTGTTATATCTGTTAGAAAAAGCTTAGAAAATGGACAGAACGTGAAGTGATATCACACGGCATGTTGAGATGCAGAATGTGAAGCATGCAAACTACACAAAAAATTGCAAGACAGCAAATGGCATTTAAAAAATAGAGCAGATAAAAGCATGACAGCAAGGATAAAGAAAATGAAAATATGTACTGAAATGAAAAGAGCAAAAATCAGAAAGGAGGGTATAGTAGACGAAGAAGTAAACAACACAAAGAAGAAGTCAGCACACAGCAGGAGGATGCATGTGGGTGTCTGATGTATAATAAATGACCTCTGGCTGATGTCCTGGCCTTTCTCTCATCCACCTTCCATTTCTGCCTTTCTCTTATTCCCTCCACATTCTTACGACCAACTCCCTCTTCTTCTCCCTCGTCAACCTCACACTCCAAAACATTTACCGTTTTCTCAATCATCATCACTTTCTTTTTTATCTACCTCTTCCATCATTTCTCCTTCCTTTCTGCTGATTTTGCTATCTCTGCAGGAAGAGGGTCCAAAATCCTACTGGGTTTACACGCTCTT